GCCTAGCAGGAAAACATGAGCCTTGAGCTCAGTAAGAGACTGTCCTAGTTTGCTGTCTATTGCTGTGGATAAACATCTTGACCAAAAACAATTTGGCAGACTATCGTGGGATTACACACTACATCTTACAGTCTGCCTTAAAGGGAAGCCAGGGCAGGAACCTGGGGGCAGGAACTGAAGTGGAACCGTAGAGGAACACTGTTTACTGGCTTGCTCTTGTGGCTTGCTCTGTTTGCTTTCTTATACAACTCAGGACCATTTGTTCAGGAGTAGGCTGGAGCCTCCCATATAATCATTAATCAAGATGTTCCATAGACTTGCTTAGAGCCAATTTAATAAAGGCAATCCCATAACTGAGATTCCCTCTTCCTGGATGACTCTAGTGTGTCAAGTTGACAAACAAACAATACCATTTCTCAGCCTTTTGGTTAAGACCAAGTGTAAAAACTAAGAACAAAGGTAATAGAGGAAAATGTCCTTTGGTCTCTGCATGCTCATGTGTGTGCATTTGCATGTATGCACACACACACACACAAACACACTGCTCTTTAAAAATCCTCAATGTCATCATTACAAGATCTGTTCAAGGACAAAAAAAAAAAAAAAAAAAAAACCAACAGCCACAGAGTTGAAGATAGGTTTTTATAGCTAGCCAGCCACATAATGGACATTATAGAGGAACTTGCATAAAATGAATATAGTAATGGATGATATCTTTAGAACATTAGGATGTGTCAGGTACATAATTATTACATGCCATCCACACAACCTGAGTAGTTGTTTACCGCCATCAGCCCTGTTTTACAGGTAGGGAAACTGACAGTTACAAAGGGTAAGCATTCACAACTGTGCACGCTATCAGCCCAGGCAGGCTGAAGCCAAAGCCCAGATATGTATCTACAGGAATAACTGTTCCCCTCTCCTCAACAAAACTGATCATGTCAGATCCTTAGTGGCGAAAGTAGAAGCATCAGGAACATATATTCATAAGCAAGTCTGGCTGGGAACATAGAAGAGGCAATTAAGGTACCTAAAAAAAGCCAAAGGGACTTCAAAACCGAAGAGACATGGGATCTGGCTGCTGAAAAAGTGAGTCACCGCAGTGGGTAGAGATGGGGACAAGTGTGTGTTCAGATGACACACAAGTATTTATGAAAACCTGAGACCCCGGAGCCTTCAGTCTAACAGGCTCCCAGAGATAAAAGCTGGACTCGTCTCGTATTGTCTCTGTGGGGTTCGAAGTGTTAACCTCATCAGCGCTGAGCTCTCTCACCAAGCAAGCTCGCACAGTGCTGCCAAGCATTCTGTCTAGTTGTCTAGCTTGAATCTGTGGGGGAAATGAAGGACCAGGACTCTGAGCAAAGCTCTGTGATTCATCTTTGCTGAAGCTTCCATCATCTATTTTAGCCACCTTCATGTGATAGAGAGATACCCGTCCTTCCGTCCTTTTTCTGTCAAGTAGTTTCCTTCTTTGGATGCCTTCATCAGTCCTATGGTCTTGTCAGATAGTTTCATGGAACCCCAGGCGTTGATGAACAGTGGAAATCTACTCTGCTGCTATTGATGGTGTCTCAGTTCTGTTATCTCTACCTCTCTGGACAGCTAGTCTTTCTCCACTTCCCTTCTCCACCTACACTATCTGTCAGTGTTCTTCACCTCTCTATCTCTGGCCCCTTTGTCCTATTATGGGATTTCCTTAAGAGACACCCCCATGTGCTTTCCCTGTCTGAGAACTGTTGACATTTATTTATTTATTTATTGAGGGGGGGGGGTTTCTCTGTATTGCTTTGGGGCCTGTCCTGGAACTAGCTCTGTAGATCAGGCTGGCCTCGAACTCACAGAGATCCACCTGCCTCTGCCTCCAGAGTGCTGGGACTAAAGGTGTGTGCCACATTTCAACCCTGTCCATGACCCCTTCTAGTTTCTTACCCCACGCTTTCTGTTTTTCTTAATATCTTCATCTGATGGTCCTAGGGGAATTCTCAAACTCAATATGCACCAAATTTAAGGACTCCTGTATCATATCCCTCTCCTTCACCACACTCTGCTCCATCCAGGGCCGGGGGACTCATTCCAGGATCTGCCCTTCATCTCATCCTCTGTTCTTTAACACTACCCATCTCTTCATGCTTCTTGATGCTATTTCCCTTTCCCGGGTCTCTACTATCTTTCTCTCTTCCTTGTCCTTATTCTGATAGCAACTGCCTTCCATCTGCCCTCATTGCCTCCAGACATCCTGCCCACCTAAGGTAAAAATTCAGATTCCTCTGAACTGAAAATTGAAAATTCTCTGCTTGAGACTCTTCAAGGGCCCATCATCACCAATGACCAATCCCTACCTCCCAGTCTGCTAAATAAGGCCTCATGTGACCTGTGACCTGGTGTCACCTCCCTGCCCCATTTCTCAGCACTTCTTGGAATTCACCATGAGATGGTGTGACAGAGAAGCAAGCAGCTTTCTGTGCTGGCATGAGTTTTCATTTCCCATCTTCTTCCATGTAGACTGCCTTTCTCACTCTTTGTAACTGGGCCCCTACTAACTCATTTTTTAAAGAAGGAACCCAGACATCTGGCCCAGGAAACCTTCCCCCAAGAAACTGGGCAAGAAAGGGCTCCCATTGGCATCCTGAGCCTATCACCCCATAACACAGTAATGCCATCTTTGGAAATCTTACTATTATTTGTTAGCATCTTGATCTTCTTTTTCTCAGTGTCTCATGCAGTGCCCTACAGGGAATAGATACCCTGATTTGTTGTTCACTAGAACAGAACACCTTCAGAGAAGGGAATCTAAGCTGGGCATTGGTGGCGCACGCCTTTAGTCCTGGCACTTGGGAGGCAGAGGCAGGCAGATCTCTGTGAGTTCTAGGCCAGCCTGGTCAACAGAGCTAGTTCCAAGACAGGCTCCAAAGCAATACAGAGAAACCCTGTCTTGAAAACAAAACAAAACAAACAACAACAGCAACAAAAGGTAATCTAGCTTTGCCATCCTTGAACATCATGCAGCACTTAACAAAAGTTTCATGAGTGAATGCTGGTGTCATGGACAGCCACGATGGTAGGAGAGTCTGGATCACACAGCTCCTCATGTACCAGGGCACTCTACCCCTGGGAGCATACATTCTGAGACAGAGGTTTGAAGGGATTAAACTTTCTAATAAGGGAGCAATCTCTTAGGTCTGCAGAAGATGGCAGGCCCTCCGTGTAGTGGATCTATTATTAATGAGAGGAACTATTAAGAATAAAGAGGATTATGGCAAAAGAAGGGAATTGGTTGAGACTGAGGGGGTTACTGAGTTTTCCCAAGTGGCTTCTTTTTGTGTCTAGAGGAAAGCACCTGATCCCACTTTCCACTGGGATGACCAAGTGTCACCTTCCCAGGCTGTCACCCTCATGGTTTGCCTCTGTTTTTGCACATGCAACATTTAAATGGTGAATCAAGAGGAGCCTCTGTTTATCCTAATGGGTCTCTAAACCTTAGAGGGTGGAGGACCCACATTTTGAACACCCACCTCTGGCTGATCCACCAGCAAAACCAGTCAGGCCGGTTGTAATGTATTATAGAAAGCCCACACACTGGTCCTTGGAACAACAGGGAGACTTGTTTCATGTTTCCCATCCTGGGGGGCCAGAGGGCGATGGTGGGAGCAGAACCCAGCACCTCATAGGCTTTTCAGAGTGAGAGTGGGTTTAGAGCTGCCCCGCCCCCTTATACACATAGCTCCAGGGCCTCGAACAAATGACAGATTTCTCCAAAGTAACAATGAACCTTCACAAGGGGTAGTGAGATTCCAGATGCCACTACAAAGCATGAGTGTAAGTCGGGAGGAGGGGTACTTGTGATTGCAAAATGCTCACCCCTGGCTCAGGCTCTTCTTGAAGACATTCCCACAGGCTGGGATGTCTGGATGGAGATGACTGCCATCTGTTGCCTCCCCAGGGCACTGAGAAGTGCCCAGCACAGTGAGGAGGCACTACCCAGACCCTCTGCTGACCTAGTGATGCCCCTGTCCCCACTTATTGCTGAACACGAGTGAGGGGGAGTTCTGCTTCACAGAAAAGAATTTTCTAGGCTCTCTGTGGGAAGTGATGTTCTTTGGTCTTTTTATAGATTTTTCATTGTCAATCGCTTTCCTCTCTACCCCACCCTTCTTTTCCTTTCTCCCCCCCCCCTTTTTTTTTAATCTGGAAAAGATACATAAAAATTGGAGGACTGGTCCTTCAAACAACCCTAGAGCCAGCATGCACGTCTTCCTGAAAAGTGTAGTGAGTTGGGACTGACACTGAATCACCACCTATTTCAAGGAAAACAAAAGTTTTCAGAAAGGCAAGTGAAGTCTTGAAGGAAAAGGCAGCTGGAATACAGTTGAGGAGCAAAAAGTGATGGGTGAGCTTGCCTCTTTTTACTATATTTTGTTTTCATTTCTGGGGCTTTAAGCATTGATAACCACAGGTCTCCCCTGGAGGTTCTCCTGGGGAAGCAAGGGACCCCATCTTCCAGCCAGGTCTGGGGTAGGGGTGTTGGTGTGAGTTACTGAATGGTACAGAGAAATTATACCCACAGAAAAGAGTCAAAGCACGCTTTCCTGCATCCTCCTGGAGCAGCAGAGGATGTCCTGTGTTAAACCCATGACCAGTCCCCACTCTCCATCCTTTCTTGCAGCTCTCTGACACTGGGTTTTACTTGCCTGAACGTCTCTGTGAGGTACCCAGCATGGGTACACATAGTTTTCAGCCACAGCTTCCCTAGTAGGGATGATAAAACCTCCCATGACAAACCACCAACCAGAACCTTCCCTGAGTCTGAGCAGGTGCCTGAGAGGCTGCGTGCTGTTGAATTTGATTAATCTCTTCTTGACTCAATGCTGGATCAGATCAGGGTACAAGTGGCCCTGGAGCCCAGCCCAGGAGATCTCAGCACCTTCCAAAGACCCCATGCCCGTTCTTAATCTGGAGAGAGAAAGAGAGAGAGAGAGGGAGAGAGAGAGAGCGAGCATTACCTCCAGAAGATGATCTGCCCCAAGGAAGCCATGGTGGGAAGAGTTCCTTCCCACAGTGGGGCTGGTGAGCGGAGCTGCCTGCACTGCCCTCCTGGGTGTTGTGACTCACAAGGAGTACCTGTGTGCTGGCTTTAAATAGTGCAGGCTGGCAGGGGTGTATGCAGCCCTGGATGGCTCAGGTATGAGGAAACAGCTCCACGAAGCCCAGGCCCAGGGATGCCTTCCCAGCCCCGACCTCAGGGCTTGAATTCAGACATGTTTTAGCTTCCAACTGCATAAGGGGATCCAAGCTCATGGTTGGTTGGAGGAGTTCCAGGAGGCTGCAGGTGGGATGGCAGTGCCTATTCCTGCTGGTCCTGACCTCAGATATAGGCTGGGTCATGCCACAGAGTCTCTCTCTCATGCTTCTGGTGGAGGCTGGTGCTGACCTCTGACAGTAGACTGCCCCTCCCCCCACAGCCATTCTCACACATCTGATGCATGCTGGGGCACCTCAGAGAGGTGAGGTGAAGGGAGAAAGACCTTATTACCTTACTGAAGATCTCTGACAAGGCCCAGCTACCGTGAGCAAATCTCTCCTGGTTTTCTTTTAGTGAGAGGGTGAGGGGACCTCTCCCTAGCCCCTCAACCCCCCCCCCATTTCTTGTTGCTGTTCTAAGATTCCAAAGATATTGTAGATACACTGCGGGGAAAATTGTTCAAGGTGAGTAGATTAGCATTTTGATTTTTCACTGCAAGACAGATCTCTCTCTCTCTCTCTCTCTCTCTCTCTCTCTCTCTCTCTCTCTCTCTCTCCCTCTCTCTCTCTCTCTCTGTGTGTGTGTGTGTGTCCTGTATCTGAGATGGATCTCACACTAGCCCTAGCTGGCTGGCTTGAAACTCACTAAACTCTCCATGTAGCTCAGGCTGCCTCATACTTCGACCACTCTTCCTGCTTCAGCCCCTGAACAAGGGGATTACAGCCTAGGATGCCTCCAAAGGAACAGAGCTTGCTTCTTACGTACTGTCTCCTCTATCCTTTGATGGCAAAGTGACTTTAGAGGAGAGGTCCCCAGGCCTTCCGTGGTCATGCCAGATTGGACCAGGGGCTTTTGGAATCACCAAAGAGTAGGTATGAGGAGGAAGAACTGAGTGCAAAGAGGAGAGGACTCAAGAGAGACCATTTCTCTGTGGACTATGGTAAAGCACGGGCAGGTCAGTTTCCTGCGTAGTTTAAAGATGAACACTTCACCTTCTCTAGCGCATCTCTTACAGGCTTGGTAGGTTTAAGAGACAGTTCACGTACCTTCCCTCCCCCTAAAGTAAGCTAAGAGCAATGACCTGGAACCTACGAAGTGTCCATGAAGATGGGTCCTTCTAGGGATTGGAAAGCTGACATCACAGGAGGCCATAGTTTCCCTACAGTATATTCTGACCAAAGACACAGAGCCCTAAAAAGAGTGGCCCCGCCTCCCGCACACCTCCAGCCACCACATGCCATCGCCAAGGGAAGATCTAAGGAAGGCCCTGGAAGAAAGCATGCAACCCAGTAGATAGCCCTCTGAGAGATGAAGTCACTGGGGGGGGGGCAGTAGCTTCTTGAAAGAGGACATAGATCGCACAGTGAACATTACCACAGCAGGGACAGAAAGGTGAAAAACATTCTGCCATTTCTGGAGAAGCAAGCTGACATCACTCCAGTTATGGCTGGGAAACTGGAACAGTAAGCACAATAAAGAAATGGAGACGGGCATTGGTGTGTGTGTGTGTGTGTGTGTGTGTGTGTGTGTGTGTGTGTATGTAAACACACAGAGAAAGACAGACAGACAGAAGCTTTGATTCCTCTTCAGCACCTGAGGAACATGGCACTGTTCACCATGACTCTGCTGATGTCCCTACTCTGCCCATGTCATCTTCCTTCACTCTCTTGTAGGTTTTGGGCTTATCTGTATGTAAGTTCTCTGCCCATTCTTCGCACAGCACGATGTCCTTAGAGTGTCCTCAACCATTGCTCTGCTTCAGCAGCCCTCGGCTCATGCCCCTTGAGCTCTGGCCCCATATAGCCAGCTGCTAGTCTCCACTGCACAGTCCCTCAGTGTGCAGGCAACATCATCTGTATCTGTGGCCTCACCCTGTGTGCTATTGTACAGGCAATGTAAAACGTGCCCTCTGCCCTCTGAAAGGCCAAGGGAATACGCTGACCAAGCAAGATTAAAAAAGAAAAGGGATGCAATTGATTGGCATCCAAAAGGAGAAAGGCACACACACGGGAATCACAGGAGTGATATAGTCACTCACTTCACATTATTAAAACCATGGTACCCTGTTTGCCATAATGACAATTTCAGAGGCTCACAGGTGCTTATTAGTGGACCATGAGGTTTCCAAGAAGCTTCCTTGGAATTCCAATGTGCACAAGGGAGGGACATCATCTTTTCAGTCTTACTGACCTTGATGGGGCTTCACGGTAGGGTGGAGGGCAGTGCACTATTAACAGAGATGGGAAATTCCAGAGTTTCCTTCTGCTCAGACATAGGTGGGCAGAAGCAAGCTTTCCCATTAGGTCAAGTGCTTCATATGTCTCCAAACATTTGGGTGGTAGCCTTCTCTAAGGCTCAACATGAGGTCCCACAAGTCAGGAACTTCATCGGCTCCCATCCCCCCTCTTCCTTGGTCCGAATGTCCCTACCCTCTCCACCCATCGCCTGACTCTTCCTCCTCGGTTACTTGCTAGGATGGTCAGAACAAAGTGCAGCATGGTGGGTTTTAGGTCTGTGAGTGATGTGCTGGGCAGGCTCCATGTCTCCTGAAGCCTACCCATCGCCTCGGCTGGCTTGGGGTCTTTCCCATCTTTCCAGTCTTCCTCCGCAGAGCTCTTTCACTGGCAGCTCACAACCATCTGTGACTTCAGATCCAAAGACCTCTTCTGATGTCTGTGCATTCATGCTCACATGCGGTGCATATACATACACTCTGGTACACATACACACATGAAATAAATATCAAAGTTTAGTTTACAAGTGCCATCGTTCCCCGAGGCAGCCCCTAGGGAGCATCTGACCCACTTCTGCAATGACCTTAAAATGCAGTCAACGAGGCTATTTTCCTCCTGTGCTTGACCTCTGCCTAGCTCTCCAGATTCCCCCTTCCCCCTTCTCACTCTGTGGGCCAGGCATGATCCACTGCTTTCTCTCAAGGGTCATACTTTCCAGGCCGCTCAACCTGGCTATAAGTTCATCTCTCTCCCTGGAATCTATCCCTCCCTTTTTCTTGCTTTATGAAAATCTGTGGGAAACCTTCCCAACCCACTCCCCCCTGGCAGGTTCTGTCCTCCCTGCCCCCACAGGACACTGGTGCTAACTTCTGAGGTTCTGAATTGTGACTGTTGACTTGTCTGTCTCCTCTAGCAGTCACACCATAAAAATAGGAAAGGTATCTTAACCGTCTTTGTATTCCACACTAACTTGAGGCATGCACAGAACAAGCAATCATTAGGTGTCTGTTGAATAAACACATCTGCTACTTTCAAAGCACACAGCCAAGGCACAGTTTCCTGTTTCTACATCTGTCTCATGGCTGGCCTGTGAGCTCCTGGAGGATAGAAACCATTTTTTTCTTTGTCACAGGGTCCTAGCACCAACCCAGACATAAAAAGGACTGGGTAACACTTGATGATGGGGAACAGGGGGCGGCTTGGGTTGTGATCAGTCAAGCACTTCCTGGAGCTGACTGCTGAGTTGGATTGGCACAGTAAGAGGCAAAAGAGAGGACACGCTGCATCTGAAAAGAAGGAGCCAGTTTGGTTTGAGCACAAAAGGGAAACCAGAAGTGATTTGTTCTTCGAAATAAAATCAGTTTCCTTTTTATTGATTATAGGGAAAGAAAGTGACAGAGACAAAATTGATGCATAAGAAATAAAAAAGTCCTTTCATGAATTTTTAAGGTGATTTACACAGCTGGGCTTCAGAATTCTCACTGAGTATCATACATCTTCCTGTGCACAACGCTAAACATCTCCCAAGACAGTGCATCCTGGAGAGGACATGAAGAGCATTCACAACTGTCTGAGGCTTCTACACTTCTCAGCGAAAGACCCTGAGTTCACATGGCCCTTACCACAAATAAACCTGGGGAGGAGTTTTGCAACTGGGGGAGACTAAGCCTCAGAGATGAGAGAGCTGTTTAAAGCCAACCAATTTGAATTTCCCTAGGTCTTATTGCTAATGTCTATAAATGAGATCATTCTAACAAAAGTGACAGATTTCAAAGTCCCTGAAATTGCATCCTGAGTCCAAACCTCAGCTCATCTATGAACTTTACCTTTCATGGAGTCAGGGCTTTGCCTAAAGTTTCTCAGAAAGACTGTCAAGGATTCACCTATCAAGGACCCTAGGAACATGCTTTCCTATAAAGGTGCCATTGAGTAATCCAGGCCTACACTGACGCTCAGCCTCTGTGACATTAGCAGACATGACATGGGGTGGAGGTTGGGGACACATAAGCTTTTGGGATGTCTTTTCTGGCCATCAGCCATTCCAGCTGAGACCCCCAGCAGCTGATTTCAGCCACACAGATAAACACAAAGCTCGGCCTGAATCACATAGAGGTGAGCAAATAAAGGGCTGTGGTCTCAAGGTACCCTGCTGAGGGTGGTTTGTTCCATAAGCAAGAGGTGACACACTGTTCTCTCACCTGACTCTGCTCCACATTTCTCTCTGAAGTTTCCTGGAGTTAGTTCCTGTGGCATTTCACAGGACACAGTCAACTCCAACATCTGTACAAAAAGATAAAAAAAAAGAAATGCTTCTAACTGGAACCATCTTCATACAATGTTACTTAAACATGTCCATTTACAACAGGGTCTTACAAAACGTTATTAAGTCTGAATGCACTTAGTTAGATTTTGTTTTTGTGACAAACAGCTGAGAAAAACTGTAAAACAGGAAAGCTCTGTCTTGGCTCATGTCTTCTTGGTTCCAGTCCAAGATTGGCTATCTCCCCTGCTTTCACCCTGAGGCAAGGGGACATCATGGCTTTCAGATGTGGTGGCACAGAGAGGCTAGCCTCGTGGCAACCAGGAAGG